GTTAGTTAGTTAGTTAGTTAGGGTCCAAAGTAACTGCTGCAAAATATCATTCAGTAAACCATTGACACTGAAATGTTGAATACAACAGAGCACCTTCTGATTATGGAACACCATACATTCCTTTTCTTTTACCACATAGTTATACACAACCTTAGGATTGACCATTTTATGAAACCCTGTAAAATACTTGAGGTTTTGGTCAAATACCAATGGAGCATATCCATCCATTTTCCGTCACGTTTATCCCATTTGGGGTCACTAGGGGTGGTGGTTCCCATCTCCAGCTGTCTATGAGCAAGAGGCAGGGTACAACCTGGACAGGTCCCCAGTCCATCACCGGGCAACTTAGAGACAAACAGGACAAACAGCCATTCATGCGATCACTCACACCTAAGGAGAATTTAGAGAAGCCAATTAACCTAACAGTAATGTTTTTGGACTGTTGGAGGAAGCTGGAGTACCTGGAGAGAACCCACGCATGCACAGGGAGAACATGCAAACTCTATGCAGAAAGACTCAGGGCCTGGAAAATTAGTTTAGTTAAAAAAATGTAACCAAAAAAGTTTTATATTTAATTATTCACCCATTTGAATTAATCGGCTTCATGGTAAACCATTAAAAGGGGAATTATGGCAGTTTTACAACTGCAGTTTCAAAAAATGTAATTTAACCTGGAGGGCTTCATATGACTCCCCGATTTCAGCCTGAAATAATATATCATTAGTTTAGTCATTTAGGTAATTTAATGATTGAACTTTAAATTTAGTAGAGCATAAGTTATAGCCCATGTTTGGAAAAGGTTTATTATAGGTGAGAGAATAAGTCAAAGGTTCAATGCTTAACTCACTGAGGTGCAAAAACTTTATTATGAACAATTAAAGCAGGCCAAAACTCATCTCTGAGTTCAATCAATACTTTCAAATTGATCATTTCTTTTTTTTCAGTTTTGTTTATGTTTCACTATTTTTGTCTTGATCCTCATTTATAAAACGGATGTCTAAGCACTTTCTGTTTGTACACTTTAATAATGTTCTGTTTTTAAAGTGATAATGGTAAGCTCCCCTGGAGATGAGAGATTGCAAAGTCTGAGAACATGCACATCAGGGCATGATTCCTGGTTACACTGCATGTGTCAGCAAGACATGAAAAATGCCCATCAGGCTCAAAACTGTTTTCCGATGAAAGCTGAGGTCCAATGAATAGTGAGAATGAAACAGTTACGTATCAATGTCAGCAAAGGAGAAGGATGATGACTAATAATACCAGCTCACAGCCAATCATACACATCAGCCTTGTTAAAAGCCTCAAATCCATTCCCCAAAGGTAAGTTTTTTTATTTATATGCCTCTGCCTTGGTCATCTCCCTTGTGTGGTCATTAGAAGAGGTTAAGAAAGCCTTCAACTTTCTACCAGTAGATGGCGTGGGTGATCTGACTTGTGCTGCTGGAAATGCCGGCTAAAGATGGAGGCTTTCTGCCTTCTCAGACTGTCATCATAATGATGTTACTGAGTTACATAAGAGTGCAGTATCTCTCAGCAGGCTCTCCATAAGAAATTATGTGTTAGATCTCAACCCAAACTCCATGCTTTTATTTCCTTTTGTTGCTGTGTTGCAGTGTAGAGCTGTAGCAGGGAGCCAATAAAATGCATTTTCTTCCTTCTTTCAAATGATAGAGAAATCCTGCTTTGATCACTGACCTAATTAATGAGGCAATTGATGAATATAAATACCAGATTAGCTATGCAAATGATCCCAACAAAGAAAAAAAATGAGAAAATACATTGCCCCATTAGGAAGTTTTGAGGGCACAGAAATTGTAAATGCATAAAGCAAGGTCTTGTTTAGGATAAACTGTAAAAATACAGATAAACAACTAAAAAAAGACTATGACAGAGGTTCCAGGCTAAATGGCATATGTAAGCTATGCAGAAATAGGTTTTTGCCTATGCAATCCATTTTTCTTGTAAGTAGTGAAGTTAGTTCATTAAAACATTATACTTTAAAAGCAGTACGTTATGATAAACCATCACTCATGAAATATTTAGAATACTGTATCTGCTTTAACTAGTCAACATGAAGATGGCAGCAAAAAACTTTCTTTTCATTTAATTTTTTAATTTTTTTTTAACGTATGTTCTCAACTGAAGATTCACTACCGACACAAAATGTCACTGTGGAACAAGGAAAGCATAATCATGTGCAAATGTTGGTAAAACGTTTTTTTGGGGATGTATATTTACTAGGTGGTTATCATCAATATTATACTGTATACATTTTGTTATCTACCATCTGTGCCAATTACATTTTTTTGCCATTACTAATCCTATTTATTCTTCTTTCACACTAATTCCGTAAAAATTCAAAAAATACCCACTGGACTTGGTTTTCAAGATTTGAAGACGTTTCGCCACCTCTCCAGGAAGCTTTCTCAATTCTCAATTCACATTTGAATTTCGTATTTTGTGTGAAAGAAGAATTAAATGTTATTAGTAATTGCAAATACATGTACTGTTTCACAGATGATAGATAGCAAGACTGCTACTGAGTGTGAGTGTGCGTGTGTGCATGGTTGTGTGTCTTTATGTGTCCCTGTAACAGAATGGCAACCTGTCCATAGACTGCCGGAGATAGGCAGCGGCCCCACCGTGACCCTGACAAGAACTAAGCAGGAGCTGTGTTTACAATTACACACATTGATACCAGCAACTATGAATAGAAATACAGAGCAGTTAAAGTTTTTTTTTTGTTCCAGAATATAACCAAGTTTCCTCATGCATTTTAAGAAGAGCTTTTTCCCATTTTACAGTACAGAAATGAAAGTTTTGCTTGTTTTACTTGTAGTCAATTTAAAACAAATGGACTGGTGGGTACCATTTTATAACTGCAAAGGTATCACACTATCCTATCGCTCTTTGCTTTTCTTTTAAGTTTCATCTTAACAGGGGGTCTATAATGAAGATAAATGCACAGCAACAATTGTATTATCTGGTGCTCCTGAATCCAAAAAGAGAGGGAGCTGTGCTAGTATAGAGCTTAGTGCATTACCCTTATTAACTCCTGTGCTGATTTAAACTTGTTATTTTTCACAGAAGAAATCAAAACAAGTTTAAAGCTGTTAGATATTTTAGTAAATACATTTTGTGCGTATTTGGTAATTTTAAATTGGCTGTAAATAAGAACTTATACATGCTGTTTATGTACTTGGATGGTCTGATGTGGGGAGACAACTAGAACATGTGTGCCTATATACATGGGAGTATAATCATAATAATAATGACTAAGCGTTTCTGCTCAATGTCTAAATGTATATTTCCAGAGGGTTCACTAGGCCTGTTGTTGGACGGATTATATTTTTTACTTGTTTTTCAATTATATGCCCTTGAGTGTAATTAAATCAGCAGTGGTAACATAAAATAAATGATAAAAAAACCTAATCTTAGAACGTGGGGTATTAATGTCTAAAGAAAGCATATTCAGTCAAACTTGCCACAAAGACTTCGACAACATTTATTGTTATTTTGCATACACAGAGAGTATACAATGCGAAATTTCCTTTTGTACACCTCTCATGACATTTCCATTTATTAAAGTGCAACAGTGATCAGATGTAAACATTGTGGGAGAAAAAAATGGTTCAAAAAAGTGCATTGGTAATGTTCTCTCTGGTCTCAAAATGGTCTCTTGTTAAATTGCTTAAATGTTGAAAAGAATAAAGATAAAGTAACCTTGATAATGTTACTTGTATATATCTGTTTGCCTTACAAGGGTAAATCCTGAACATATTAACTGCGTAATTTTCACATTGATTAAGAATTTTGGTTAAAGGTAAGCTGTGCCAATACGGGAAAAAATAAGTAGCTTTTTGTGTCACTGTGTGCCCCTGATGCCCCTCAAAAAGACTGATGACCCCTGTTCAGAGTGTTACAATTTCATGGTATTTGATATGAATGCGGTATATGAAACATTTCTGTCAAGCTGAACCACATCAGATTTATACACCATGAGCTTTTTTGTAGGAGATTGATGATTGAAAGTTTGCCCCCTTCATGTTTGTTACACTTAAATGCTTCAAAACAATAAACTGATTTATATACCTTTCATAAATAAAACCAGCATACACAATAGATAGTTTTTAAATGACGTTATAGTTATGTGAGAATAAAAAGGAAAAAAAAATGTTTGTACCTCCTCAAAGCTGTAGAACACAAATTAAAATCTATTTTACTCAGTAAAAAAAGCTTTACAAAGAACTTCTATTGCATTTATTCACCACACAAGGCTAGCCTTCTTAAATCTTTGGTAGACTACTATACCATTTCCTTTATTTCCTAATCTATTAACTGTACTTTAAAGATTTTTTTTCAGGTGATGCTGGCCTTTATTTGACAGTTCGTAGACAAAGACAGAGAGAAAGGTCATAGACTAAGAAATCGAACATAGGCTGGCCTTACTCACTTCTGCATTCAAGCTGTGCTAAACCTCAAGAGGCCTGCTCTTTTCATGGAAAAAAAAAAAAAAAAAAAGTGAACAATTTTTTTTTTCACTTTTATCCGATGTATTACAACATCAGACTGCCATGCACATGGGCATTGTCAGTTTAACTAGCTTTGGTGAATTTCAATAGTGAAGTCCTCTGGAAATCTTCAATAATATTTGTTGATTGCAGATGTGTCTAGTATTTTCTATTGATCTTGCTTGAAAAGCGGGGAGAATGGTGCTAGGCTTACCGCACTGTGACGTCACTGCCGGAAGATGTCAGGATAAAGGCGTTACTATATTTGGGCAAGAATTGGCTGCTCCAGGGCTCAGTGATCATGACCAAAATTATATATATATATATTTTTTTACTGGTTAAAGCTAAATCCATTAAATAACCACAAATGTATTAGTTTTAGGTATAGATAATGATGCTGACCAGACTTTTTCTTTAATTGTCATGTTGGGATTCAGGTTTCTAACCCACATGCAGAACACCCAGGAGTTAGAGTAAAAGTTTAACAATTTATTAAAGGTTTGCACAAGGTTGTTTAACAGATTCTTGAATCAATGATAAACACAAGGTTAGTTGACAGGTGCTGGAATCAAATCCGGGACTGGTCACACAAGGCTCTCTGCAGAGAGGGACAGTTAGGTTAGCCAGGCACCTAATGATCATGTAGCTGAGAGAATGTGCAGATCTGTACCTGTTCAGAGATTCAGGCTGAGCAGCAGAGGGAGGGAACCAGGAGGGTCTAGAGACTGACTGATGGCAGAGGGCTTGGCAGCGACAGAACTTAGCTTCAGGCTTGTGAGTGTTCAGAGCTTCTTCAAGTTGCTTCTTGAAGGATGGTAGGCAGATCCAGACAGTTTGATCTTCAGGTTTGTTACTGAGAGCAGGCAGGCAGGTTTCAGTTGAGTTGCTCCTCCAGAGCTCCAGGTCTCAGTCAGATTCTTCCTAAGAGGCAGAGAGGACAGAAAACTGGTTAGGTTCAAGTCAGGCTTTCAGAGAGTCAGAGAATCAGGCAGGCTGGTTGGCTCAGGCTTGCTAACCGTAACTGGCTTAACACTCTGGCACTGAAGAGTAGTTTTGCCGCTGCTTATATGCTGGTCTCCCTGATGAGCAAATCAGCCGCAGGTGTGGTAGTCAGCTTCAGCTCCAGGAGACCTAGGGCGCCCCCTCTGCTGAAGAAAGGTGGACAGATCTCCAGATCCCAACACTGATTGTTAAAAGCAATTCAGTATTGTACCAAAATAGTATGTCCAGTGTTTCCGACTGTAAGATCATGAAGCAGAGAACTTTAATAGTCAATGAAAAGCAAAAAAACTTTGAATTAATTTAGTTAAAAGCCAACAGCATATTTTCAATAAACAATTAGTTTGGAGCCATGTTAGTGTGTGCTATTTCTGTGTGCAGTTTCTAAAATCAAGTAATGTAGAAAACAACTGTAGATTTTCATGAAACAGATTTTCAGCCTTTCTGCTGGGTCACTTTGTTTCAAAGCCATTTTCTGTTCCTCAGGTGCTTGTAGCTCTTAATTCTTACTTGGCAGGGAAGGCTAGTTTAGAAATGTGTTTTCAGGTCGAGTTGGCTGACCTGAGAAGTAATTATCATCTCTAGACTGCAGCAAAACTTTAGAACGTGCCCCGTACTCAAAAGCGGACAGCCTGACTTGACAAAGTCAGAAAGTAAAAATGTGGTTGGAAATTTAAAAGTGGGACTTAGTTTACAAATTTTAGGCAGTCTACTTTTAAAACACAAAATTAAAAGTAGAGTTCAAAATTTACATTTAAAAACTCTTGTATTATACTACATGAGCAGAATGGTTTTCTTGACTTTTGTTTCACATTTTGCTCTGGTCATTTATTTGACAAATAAACCTGCTTTATACAAAAAGCAAGCATAGTAAAAATGTTGACATTTGTGTCTAGATTTATCATGATTAATTTTACAATAAATCCTCATATAAATGAAGTTGTAAAATTACCATCATGGTGAGTAAACTTCACATATGAGGAATGTGACGTTTATATATAAGGAATATTCAAACATTTCTGTGATGTGTCACAATTAATTTATGTTTGCCAAGTTGCATCATCATGATAAACATTTCATAATCCAGTGTGAATTCTAGCACTCTAGTAATTGCCTTCATGTGGTTTATCTTGTAAGTGTTGTAAAGTGTTGTTTGTTATGTTTCTCTCAAATTGTCATGCAAATTTTAAGAGATAAAACATATCACCAATAAAGTACAGAGAAAAAGGAAAATGTGAATTGTGCCTGTTTCCAACTACTGGTGTCGAAAAACTGGCTGACAAAAAGCGACATTATAGTATAGATTGAATACACTGAAAGTAGAACTCGCAAATTAGCATGGACCACACTTTTGAGAGAAATGGAAAGATGTTTTCTGTAATGTTTTGCTGTCAGGCAAGTTGTAATTTTTCTGCCATGTCAACAAGTAATGGTAATGATACATGCTGTCTAAAAACATAGAGGAGGAAATTTATATCTAATCGGGAAGATGCTAGAAGAAGAATCAGCTGTTGTCAGACCTTGTTTGCCAAATGTGTTTCCATCTCTCGCTTAGCACATTATCTATTTTTTGGGTCAAAATAGTCAAAAAATTTTAGTTTTTTTTTTTATCAAGAAAACACCTCAAACAATTTTAAAAACATTTTTTACAAAGTTCTTTTAATGTAAACACAATTTAGGACTGTTAAGTCAGAATTCTTCCACATGACTGAACAGACAATCTATCCATTCATTTTCCATCACACTTAATCCCAGTTGGGATCCCCGGATGCTGCTGCCTATCTCAAGCTGTCTATGGGTGAGATGCGAGGTGCACCCTTGACAGGTCTCCAGTCCATCGAAGGGCAACACAGAGACAAACTGGACAAACAACCATTCACGCACACACTCACACCTAAGGAGAATTTAGAGAAGCCAATTAACCTAAACCTAGATCCCGGGCCGGGAATCGAACCTTCCTGCTGCAATGCGGCAGTGCTACCCACCACGCCACGACTGAACACACCATAACTTATAATTCATAAATTGAAAAACATTAGGTTTAAATTATCAAAATAACTATAACTATTTGTAATGAATGTATGAAAAAACCTTTAAACTAATTACTGAAATAGATTAACGTTTGGATAATACTTTAATGAACAAGCCGTTTAAACCCGGGAACAGTCTGCTTTTAGTGGCTGTGGGAACAGCTTACTGAAACGTATCTACCTAAGCCAAATGACTCGGCAAGCGACCTGTGTTAAAATCGCCTCAGCTCCTATCAGCATACTCTGAGAACACCAGAGCTGGGTTGACCCACTAAATTACGTGATACAATTGAATGCAACGTACAGACGTCAACACACCGTGCCAGCCACGTCTGCACTAACAAGCTGAAACAACTCTGTTTACATTCGATAAATATGGCGCAGCACTGGTAGGAGAGATTCAGACAGAAAAAAGGGCAAAATAATAAAGAATACTGACTACACTCAGGCTCCCATCCATGTTGCTCTCCATTATTTACTTCCCTACTCGTACTGTCAACATGATCAACACCCACCCAGCATGATGCTGTCATCAGACATGCAGGGGTGGGGGACAGTGGCCGCGCAGCTTGCCAGCATGGGGTCAGACTCGCCTTTTCGGTCAAATGGAAAAGAGCCAAAAGCCGATTGTAAGGGGTTTGAAAAACCAGTCATGTGACCAAACATAGGTCACATGAATGGCTTAATTAAAATTTTTCTATTAATGTAGGTGAGAAAATGAGCAAAATATGTTAAGTTCTAAGCTGCGCTTTAATAGCCGGTTATCTCCAGGGGTTTAACCAATATTTATAATTTATTTTGTCACCAACCAGGTGGACAATAAATTCAAATTCACTGACCAGTGGCATCCTGAAAATTGTTTTTGAACACCTCTTTCCTAACACTGCATCAGAAATCCCATTTTAATTTTCAAACATTTTTATTTCAGTTTAAGATAGGTGCTAGGAATTAGAAAATAGAAGTTTATGGGAATTTCATGCCCTTGGAACATAAAGGCATCACCAGACCAGAGCAGCTTGCTGGTGGGAGTCACACCCTCCAATGAATCACTAATGATCCACTGTTCTTTGTTGGATTGTCTGTTGTAATAATAGTGACTTGCTTGTTATTGACACTTGTTTCTCAAAAAAAGGTTCTTGCCTCATTTAGTTAGTCATTCCTCATCATGTTGTCTGTCTAGTAACTTCGCTCTAAGTCCTTAACAGTGAATTAATTTCTTTTGTAGAGTCCTTTGAGGCTCCAGCAATGCTCAACTGCCTAATCCACTAATTAGTCACACCGAGAACCCTATGACATACCTTTTTAAGATATACTTGTGTAATTCATCATGTATTGCTCATTATTTTTATTACTGCACAAAATACTCTCTTTTTCTTTGCATATGGGCAACCTCTCCATCCTGACAGAGTATATGGACCCTCTACGGACCTTTGTAGCTTCTGTGATTTAAAGTTGCTAATTCATGCACAGTAGAATTTTAATCATTTTCACCTTGATATCTGGTAATAGTTGGGTTGTTTAGATCAGACTATGCTAATTTGTTTTTCTTGACATTCACATTTATCGACTACCGTAGTGCCTTTAAAGAAGCAGTAAAAGGTTTTCATACTGCACAACCACCCAGTAAGTGTGTTGTTACTGTCAGGTCAACAAAATTCAATCTGTCATCATTACCGCAGCAATATTCCAGCTGAGATTTCACAGTGAGTCAATGGACAATTATTATGACTGATTCTGTATGAGTTAGTAAGTTAGACCAACAAGCCGTCATTTTTTATGACCTGGACAGAGCCATTTTTGTAATTTGATAAACAGGGCACAGATAACAGAGCACAATTTCCCTCCTCTAATATGACTGCTGGTCGCATTTGGAGATACTGGTAATCTTTACATGGTTCTCCATCTCTATCATGGACTCTCCTGTGATGCCCAGAAAGACAGTTTTTCTCCTGATCTGCTGACATCCCCATTAAACCAATCCATCTGAAAAATGCCAGACAGATAACAAACAAGGGTGGTTTCATTTAGATGTGCTCTTTGGGCAGCACTCCAAGAAAGGCCAAGCCTCTGTCCCCCGCCTTTTAAATTATACCCTGTTTCTTCAAACAGACAACGCAGACCCCTCGACCTATGAATAATGCATGAGAATAATCAGGACCTTTCAATGAATGCACATAGAAAGAATCGGTATATATATGGTATGGATTTGGTTCTTGTTTACAGGAAGATTTCAAAAGCAAAATACTACATAGTTGGTTTTGAAAATATGCAACCACTTAATAGCTTAGGTTCTAATTTGGTCCTAACCAGAAATAGGGATACTATCTTTTAATGCTATGTTCACATAAACATTTCTGGAGCTTAGGAATCTTTTGGAATCGGAATGCATATAATCAACAAACACAGTCATCTCTTAATGTTACACAATCAACTGAATAGTGTGGAAATGATATGACAACAGTGAATAAATAATAACCAATTAAGCCTGACCAGTGAAGTTCGAAAAAGCCTATTTGCTGATTTCCAGCTGAAGCTTAAATTGGTTCAGAGGCCATTGTTCTCTAAATATATTTCAAATGATTGAAGTATTTTTCCGATGCTAATACATAATTACTAGTGAGTTAACGACAGTACTGTATGGCTGATGTTAAGCAAGATAAGTAGAACCTTGTGAATACAATACAGTACACAATAGCAGCCATTCCAAATGTCCATTTCCAGTCAAAATGGTATGGCAGCAAAATCCCCTTTAACCTTATGGCCATTCATATTTATTTTACTCTGACTCCACCCTTTCTCTGAATTACAGGGTCAGACAAGGAGAGGACACTTCTCTTTAGATCTTAATGTCCCCAAATCATGACAGAAAGAATATTTTAGATGTTTAAAAAGGAATTGTAGGGGACTAGCCAAGGACCAGCCAAGTGCCCATCAAGGAGAGTGAGGAAATTTTGAATGGCTACTACTGTATATATCTGGGAAGATGTTCCTTCTGTGTCAGTCTGTGATGGGGTCTGAGGTGTCCTTCTGACTG